TGCTGTATAAACTCTTTCACTCCAGGAGGGAGTATGGAGGGTTTGGCTTTTTTAAGGTCGTGTTTCTGATCAGAAACACAACTGTTTCTGATCAGAAACACAACAGAGAGGGTCTTGCAAGTAAGGAAATAACTTAAAGGGTGCATGGAAAAAATAAACCCGATTTCTACATTCTGCTTTCAATTTAAATTTTTCCGAACAATATCAGTACATCATCAACAGAAAAGGTTACAACAATTAATTAAATGATAATCAAAGGAAAAGTATTTGTCGAATTCTCCCAGTTAATTCTTACAGAAAATGTTTGGAATATTAGTCTGGAAAATCTGTATGTGGATAACTAATTACCTCAGACACTGTTGGGTGGATTCCTACAGTTCTGTCAAAGTCGCTCTTTTTGGCTCCTAACTTGATAGCCACAGCATAACCTTGAGTCACCTCTCCAGCATTTGGACCAAGGAAATGAAAACCAACCACACGTTCCTAGAACAGAATACCAAATAAGTTACCAGGGTGACTTGATGAAATAACCCATGTCCTTGCATAAGAGATAACTCAGTCTATAACTGAGTGTAATTCAATCAGCAAATCTGACTAGGAATTAAACGTTCTATTAGAGAAAACATTAATGCAAATTTTGACAAAAAAACATGGCTGTCAAAACTTGGTTGCCAAGGTGATGTCAATGTTGACAAATACGTCACAATGACTTAAAAAAATAAATTTTGAGAGAAGTAACTACATTTGGTGGTGAATTGAACAATTTTGATGCTATTCAACTCCAGAGTTGGGGGAGGGCCTCCCAATATGCATAGGGTTAAAGATGCATATGGATGGATTGATTGACTCTGATGACATTTTTCTTTGGACCAACCAAAATGGTAACCTAGCTAGACATAATTATGTTCTTTCAAGCAAGAAAAATTCTCTGCAGCTCTGTCTTGGGTTTCAACACTATTGAATCAGTGTTTCACAGTAAAAGCAAAACAAAATTTTCTTAATTATTAATTTAGTGATTGTTGACAATGCTTGATGACTGCAAAAAAAAAAATTAACTTGTCCATAATCTTGTTTAACCTATTTTTTTGTCTTTTAACACACGCAAATTTGCCCTTTAAAATGTCCACAATATCGCACGGCCAAACTGACAACTATGATGTAGAATGATTTGCAAGAATGAAGAATAATTAACAAGATGGCAGCAAAAACGAAGCACTGTCTTTGTCAAAACTTTGCACTGATCTTTAGAATCTTCTTTTACTTTGAGACACCTTTTATTACAGTCAGTTACGTCGCTTAATTCTACAGGGCACTAATCGTAAACTAGCTGACATCATCAGCCTCTCTTTCATCCTTTACTCGTTTGCACTCTTTGGGACATTTCTTAAGGGAGAAAGCACATTTTGGATGGTAAAAGTTCAAGAAATTTTTTGGGGGACAGATTTTTAAAGTTCACAATTGTTGACTAAACTTATCTATGGACCAAATTCAGTTTGAAAAGATGTTGTGTTGTATACACTTGAACCGAAAAACAAAGGATCACTGCAGAGTAACAGCACTTACGTTCTCACTCTTGTTGCAAACCAGCTTGACATAACACTCAGATGCATCTCGTTTAGCCACAGTATACTCTAGAGGTGTATAGTTAGTGTGATACACCTCAATATTGTTCTCCCCATACTTTGCAATAGCATCTTCCTCTGCCAGCCCTATGCAGCCATACTCCAGTGGTGTGAATACTGTTGTTGGAACACTCTCATAATCACACTGCAAAACAAAGTTTGGATGATTGAAATGTGTGGGTAACAATATGAGGTACTGTCAGTAACAAGTTGGCAGTCAGTATTGAAAAAGAGGTAAAAGTAGCTCTGTACATAGTTTGAAGATTGCTTCCTAACCTGCTAGCTATTGCTGTTAATACAGTCAGTTAAACCTTATGTAAGCCTACACCCTCTGCTATGGAAAAAGTTTCGCTTAGGGAAGACATAATAATTATGCAGTGATCATTTGTTCCTGGGACTATCGCAAAGTGTTTGATTACAGGAGGTTTCAATCTCTGTTAACTTAGGCGTAAAACTTATTATTGCTATACGTCAAGGTTTTAAAGGTTCAGAGCATCTTGATTCCCAACAATTTCCTTGTTGGTTAAGCCTGGTTCTCACATGCTACTGACACACTTGTGACATAGCCGTTGGTCTCCCTAGGATAATTTTCCCATGGAAAAAAATGTGCTGGCAACAATGGCCACCCCAGTCCAGTCAGACTACAAGCATGTGTGCGAAGTTGACTCAAGATCAATCTCTCAGACAGGCCTGAGGTAAGACAGATGACAACTATTGTTGCCGGACATTGGTGACATTAAGGCCCAGTTCAAACGTCAAACTTTTTTGAAGTACCGAACCTACTCCCTTCAATTAAGTGCACAACATTAGATTGACATTTGAATCAACTAAGTCCAACATACCTAATTTGAATCGACCCATGAATTAAGATCACATAACCTGGCCCATAGGAATTTCAACTGAGGAGTGACTCCATTTCAAAAATCGAACTTTTCATTTTCATAAGTTACTACAATTATTTATTTCAGTGGTAAGCATTGTGGACCATTGTACATTGCGAAAATGATTTGGGTCTGACTAATTAAGTTTGACATCTGAATCAGCTCGACCAGTATAGGTATTAAGTTCAGCGCATGAAAAGTTCGATGTTTGACTAGGGCGTAAGTTTATTATTTTAGAATACAGCTGTAGATAAAAGAATCCCATACCAATTCATTTCTTTCACCATACAGCCGATGGGCCAATAACCTTCCAGCATGAATAGCTACAGGAGTGAGCTCAAGTTTGCCCTCCAGAATATCTCCTATTGCATAAATGTTTGGTACACTGGTTTGTTCATTGTCTGCTACAATGACTTTTCCATTACTGAAAAAAGATTAATAATGGTTAAAGAACTTCCATTCTGTGAAGAACATACAACCTACAGGTTCTGAGGTGATGCAGTTAACTTTAACCCAGGCTTACAAAGAACTTTGAAGTCAATTTTCCTGTTAAGTAAAACATATTTAAAGCTTTTGAGATGTTGTTTACTCTAAAAAGACACAGGAGTTACAATTTCCTCCAAACAATATCAATACAACATCTGCAGAAAAGGTTTTGAGAATTTTAACATTAATTTACTGTAAGTTAGTCTTCCGTAAGTTAGATCTGTTTTCAGCACAAATAGGACAGTGTAATAGGACAGTAGGCGTCATGCCTAAGTAATTGGACAGTACACGCCATCACACGTGCACACTTAATAAATGGCTCTTTTTCACTGTTCTTGAAATTTCTTGTGTTTTAATTGAAGAAAAGCCTTAAATATTACAAATTTGTTATAGTTATGATTAACTGGTGATAGAACTTTGTGTTGTCCAATTGCGGCTGTACTTATACTCATGATTAAACACATCAGACTCCTGCTATGGTCATCTGATTTTGTTAATCACTCATATGATTATAGACCGAATTGCACTCCACTCAGTAATATATCCATTATTAATCAGCCTTTAAGGAACTGGGTAAGGGTGTACGTTTTGTCTAGGAACATGTGTGATATTTTTGTTTATTGTGTTTCCCTGACTTCCAATCACATAAAAGTATCATGAATGTTTTGGACATTGTTTTCACCATACTAGGCTAGTTACCTTTAAATTTGTTTAGCAGTTTTAACAGAAACAAGGTTATTTTATCTTTGATTCCTTTTGGTTTTTTAGGAGTTTTATAAACTCTTAGTTTTAATGGAAAGTAAGCTCTGAAAGTGAGGTTAAACCTTAAGCCTTAAAGTTGGAGACTGGGTCCAAGCGTAGTTGAGAATTTGATAGACAGATAAATAATTGTACATGGCACAATTGACTGGGACCTTTTGTCCTGGAATCTTCTCTGATTGCGATGCAGGAGAGAATGAAACCTGTTGCATTAAACTAAGTGACTTGTGAGATTGTTGGGGAAACTAAACTTTCAATAACCCATTCACCCCGAACCGCCTGTGCAGATCCATATCCCTTCCACCACTTGTGGCATCATCAGTTTTAACCCATTCGAGATTTTGCAGAAAAACGCGTTTTGAAGCTAGTTGAGTGGTTTTCTGGTCACTGTCATGCTATAAAGAGTTAAAACTTACCACAAACCGGTTTACAGGTCGTACACTTTGCGGCCTTCTGATCCAGATGCAAAATATCAGCTTGCGAAGTTTGGGCATGCGCAGAAAGCAAAATTTCGAGATAGTTTTTGGGTTTAAAAGTGATACAGCAGTCTTGACTTTTACTGTTCGCTTTCTCTCCTCCCTTCTTTTTTCGCTTTTCTTGCCTCATTTTTTTTCTCTTGCTGGGCATTTAGTAGGCTTCATTTTGGTGGAAAGAGTTTTTAGGAAAGCTTTTAGGATCTTAGGATTAGGTGAAAGGAAAGGTAGGTGGGCAGTGGAACAAGATTTTCATGGAGATTTTCAGGTCAATGTCACGTGGTTTTTTGCTTCTTTCTCCGCCGTCCTTGACTGAATTGTGCTCATTCTGGTATGGTTTGAAAGATCTCTTTACTCTGCACAAGTTAACGAAGAAAGTTGTCCTTGACTGTTAAAACTGATGACGTCACAAAGGGTAGAAAGGACCTGGATCCGCACGGGCGAATACGGGCGGTTCAGGGGTGAATGGGTTAATGGTCTATGAAAACTTTGTCAGAACTTGCGCAGGGTGAAGAGATCTTTCAAACCATCCAGAATGAGCACAATTCAGTCACGGTGGCCAGAGTAAAAGGCAAAAAACCATCAATGTAACATTGACCTGAAAATTCCCTTAAAAATCTTCTTCCACCACTGATCTACCTTTCCTTTCATCTAATCCTAAGATTCTAAAAGCTTTTCCAAAAACATTTTCCACGGAAATGCCAACTAAATGCCCAGCAAAAAGGAAAAAATGAGGCAAGACGAGCAAAAGAAAAGGGGAGGTGAGAAAGCGAAAAGAACAAGTGAAGACCATCACATCAAAATTTTGCATTCTGCACATGCCCAACTTCAAAAGCTAAAGTTTTGCATCTGCAGGATCAGAAGGCCAAAAGTTTTTAGCCAAAAAGCCAACAGAAAACGGCTTGACTAGCTTCAACATGCATTTTTTGGCAAACTTTCCAGGAGCAAATGGGTTAAGTAATGAATAGTACAACTGTATGTGAATTTCATATTATTTGAACTGCAGTATGAGGAATTAAGATAATGAAAACTAGATCCTCATGCTTACAGTTGCATGTAATTTCTGCAGTTACATGAAGAAAGCCCCCCAAAATTCATTCCATTCTTTTTGCAACTGCAAAAGTTGCAACTGTAACTGCAAGGATCTAGTTTACATTTTATTTTATTGAAGCCATCATTGCTAGTGAATTCGAAGGCATTCTCATCACTATGCAACCCTTTGGGCAGACCTACCTTGGATTAAGTTTGACTCCAACATTTTCCAGTCCAATGCCCTGTGTGCAAGCATCTCTACCAATTGCAAACATCACCTGTGGGGTGAAAAATTAATCAGTCTTAAGTATGTGAACAGTGTGAATAGGATATCTCTTTAAGCCCCATATATCAACATACAAAATCTCCAGACTGACCTCCTTACATTTCCTTACAGAATCAGTTGAGAGAATTTGATTGAAGATCAAAGCACTTAAATGGCTTTATTAATAATACTTTAGATGGGTGAGACGCTGAGTGATAAATAACTTACAGTGTTGCATTCTATAGAGCTCTCTTCCCCAGTTTCCAAGTGTTTGTAATGAACTCGGAGTTTTCTTGGTGTTCCTTCTTCAATAAGTTCTATCTAAAAATAACAGCAACAATAAAACACAAAATTTAGATGTAGTTTATTAGGTGTATTAAGATGAGGCTGGAGTTAGTCCTTCTTTGTTATGAAGACTGGAGTTTTTACCCCACACAAACAATTAATAATTAATTATTAATCTGTTTTAAGATACTGTTACATTTACAATAATAACTATTGCACAGATTATTAATAGTGTACGTGGAAATAAAAATTATTTTGAGATACAGGCCAAGGCTTAACACTTGAACAACCTGGTCAAAAAGACTTATAGAGTTTAACCAGATTTATTTGAGTGATTTTACTTGAACCATGAAACAGATACTACCAAAAACAGTGCAAAATAGAAGGAGGTAAACAAAAGAAGACAATGGAATCAGTGCATAATAGTGCAATGTATTCTACTACCTGTTTCATGGGTTAAGTAAAATCACTCTATTATGAGTGGCTAGACTCAATTTAGACTTCACAAAGTCCTTTGAAGTCACAAAGTTTTGTCTTGTTTTTTAAGTAAAACAAAGATAAAAAAATGAACAAAGTAAATGAAAAGGAATAGATTTATAGTGATGACAATAAATATAAATAATACTCTGATATAAAAATCAATCTAATTCATGGATCAGTTTTGAAAAGATTCAATAAAAGACAAATTGATGACTAAGTGTAAGAAACCAAACCTAATGCTGCATTATGTTTAATTTCTTCACACTGCAACAGAATTTCTTGTGATCCTGTAAATTTCTTATAAGGGCTGTATGTAAGTTATTTAAATAAATACAGTAGCTGCAGAATGCTGAAAAGTTTCTGCCTCTTTAGGGAGAGAAAGTACTGGTGCAGCTGATGATCTGAGGTTGTAGGCACTACCATTGTGTGAAGAAAACAGTAGATAATGAGAAAATCTACAATCTTGGACAAAAATGTTTAGAAAAATGCGCCACGTTGTATGTCCAATTTCAAAATAATACATCTCTGTAAAGCACTGTTCACTCAACATACTTTCCCCTTCCCGCCCAACAAACAATGTTGAAGTGCAGCCGGAACATTTTTACTCCTGACTGAACATCTTTGACCAGGGAGGAGTGGGGGGAGGGATCAATGTGGCACCAAATTTGCAGGGTGGGTCTCCTGTGAGCAAGAAAGTGCAAACTTCTGAACACTTTTTGTCCAAGACTGTAGTATCATACAGAGTAAGTTTCAGTAGGTAGACTAGGAAATCTACGTACCTTTGTTGGAATAGCTGGTCTTTTCATCTTAATCCCTTGAGTCTGCATTTCATTTCCAATTTTCTCAGCCATTTGCTGTAAAAAGAGAGAAAAATAGAACAATGTAAAAAACTCTTCTTCCAATGGCAGACATGTAACACTCTTTGGGTCATTTTTTGTCACTTTGACCTATGATCACACTGTGTTCTTAATTTTCTGAATGAACCACTCGTGCAACTGAGTACTAATGCCTGGTCCTTACTTGCAATGCAAACTTAAGCATAAGGAGCTTGTGTGCTAGTGTTGAAGGCCTTGACATGATTGAAATGATGTGTCATGTAAATCACTTTTTTGATCTCTGGCAATGATGTAATTTCTCTGGAATCGAGGCCCTTGAATTTTCGTGTATTTATACACACGTATAGCCTGGGACCGCAGATGTGTGTCCACACATTGCTGACAAGTATGCTAAATCAATTTATTATTTAGTGTGTAAATCCTGTTTCATGAAGAATCAATCGCCTCCTCATTTCTCGATCTAATCTCCAAGCAAGCGAAACTTAACTCTGCTGTAAGAACGTTATTGTTCAATTTAGCAAAGACAATGGTATCAGTTCTCCATACAGAACTTACTAGAATGCAAAGTGCAAAAGCTCATAATACATGTAGCCTGAGAAAAAAACCAGCAATTCGCAATGCATACAGTCAATATAAAAACACCACTATAATTATTTAAGATTCTTGTTACTAAAAACATTACCTGATCAAAACCACGTAAAAAGATGGACCGCACAATGACTGTGACATCAAGCCCAATCCCGTGAAGGAAGCCTGCACATTCTAATGACACATAAGAGCCACCAACCATTACTGTTTTGCCAGGACTATGTTCAAGTGAGAACAAATCATCACTGTGAAGAAAAGTGAGAAGTTATTACTACATTAATTACTCACTAAAGAATTAGAAGTCTAAATGATTGCATGATTACAGGAGCAGTGGGAGGTAGATGATAGCTGGGAGCTGGGGTTAAATGCCATTTCCCTTCTGTTATAAATTTAAGCTACATCCCTGGGAGCTGAAGTACACAACACAACAAAAACACAAAGAGACATGCCAGAGACGTGCTGTTTCATTTGTTTCATTCTTTCTTTTCCTGCTCTGTGACCCTACACCACTTGAATTTAACTGCATTATAGTATTAGACTAGTACCTTGTGATTCCATACTCCTTGGCTCCTGGTATGGGTGGGTATCGAGGCCTTAACCCTGTAGCAAGTACAATGTGCTGAGCTGTCATCTGACTAACCTTGCCTTTCTTGTCAACAGCCTAGAGTTTAACCAGATTTATTTGAGTGATTTTACTTGAACCATGAAACAGATACTACCAAAAACAGTGCAAAATAGAAGGAGGTAAACAAAAGAAGACAATGGAATCAGTGCATAATAGTGCAATGTATTCTACTACCTGTTTCATGGGTTAAGTAAAATCACTCTATTATGAGTGGCTAGACTCAATTTAGACTTCACAAAGTCCTTTGAAGTCACAAAGTTTTGTCTTGTTTTTTAAGTAAAACAAAGATAAAAAAATGAACAAAGTAAATGAAAAGGAATAGATTTATAGTGATGACAATAAATATAAATAATACTCTGATATAAAAATCAATCTAATTCATGGATCAGTTTTGAAAAGATTCAATAAAAGACAAATTGATGACTAAGTGTAAGAAACCAAACCTAATGCTGCATTATGTTTAATTTCTTCACACTGCAACAGAATTTCTTGTGATCCTGTAAATTTCTTATAAGGGCTGTATGTAAGTTATTTAAATAAATACAGTAGCTGCAGAATGCTGAAAAGTTTCTGCCTCTTTAGGGAGAGAAAGTACTGGTGCAGCTGATGATCTGAGGTTGTAGGCACTACCATTGTGTGAAGAAAACAGTAGATAATGAGAAAATCTACAATCTTGGACAAAAATGTTTAGAAAAATGCGCCACGTTGTATGTCCAATTTCAAAATAATACATCTCTGTAAAGCACTGTTCACTCAACATACTTTCCCCTTCCCGCCCAACAAACAATGTTGAAGTGCAGCCGGAACATTTTTACTCCTGACTGAACATCTTTGACCAGGGAGGAGTGGGGGGAGGGATCAATGTGGCACCAAATTTGCAGGGTGGGTCTCCTGTGAGCAAGAAAGTGCAAACTTCTGAACACTTTTTGTCCAAGACTGTAGTATCATACAGAGTAAGTTTCAGTAGGTAGACTAGGAAATCTACGTACCTTTGTTGGAATAGCTGGTCTTTTCATCTTAATCCCTTGAGTCTGCATTTCATTTCCAATTTTCTCAGCCATTTGCTGTAAAAAGAGAGAAAAATAGAACAATGTAAAAAACTCTTCTTCCAATGGCAGACATGTAACACTCTTTGGGTCATTTTTTGTCACTTTGACCTATGATCACACTGTGTTCTTAATTTTCTGAATGAACCACTCGTGCAACTGAGTACTAATGCCTGGTCCTTACTTGCAATGCAAACTTAAGCATAAGGAGCTTGTGTGCTAGTGTTGAAGGCCTTGACATGATTGAAATGATGTGTCATGTAAATCACTTTTTTGATCTCTGGCAATGATGTAATTTCTCTGGAATCGAGGCCCTTGAATTTTCGTGTATTTATACACACGTATAGCCTGGGACCGCAGATGTGTGTCCACACATTGCTGACAAGTATGCTAAATCAATTTATTATTTAGTGTGTAAATCCTGTTTCATGAAGAATCAATCGCCTCCTCATTTCTCGATCTAATCTCCAAGCAAGCGAAACTTAACTCTGCTGTAAGAACGTTATTGTTCAATTTAGCAAAGACAATGGTATCAGTTCTCCATACAGAACTTACTAGAATGCAAAGTGCAAAAGCTCATAATACATGTAGCCTGAGAAAAAAACCAGCAATTCGCAATGCATACAGTCAATATAAAAACACCACTATAATTATTTAAGATTCTTGTTACTAAAAACATTACCTGATCAAAACCACGTAAAAAGATGGACCGCACAATGACTGTGACATCAAGCCCAATCCCGTGAAGGAAGCCTGCACATTCTAATGACACATAAGAGCCACCAACCATTACTGTTTTGCCAGGACTATGTTCAAGTGAGAACAAATCATCACTGTGAAGAAAAGTGAGAAGTTATTACTACATTAATTACTCACTAAAGAATTAGAAGTCTAAATGATTGCATGATTACAGGAGCAGTGGGAGGTAGATGATAGCTGGGAGCTGGGGTTAAATGCCATTTCCCTTCTGTTATAAATTTAAGCTACATCCCTGGGAGCTGAAGTACACAACACAACAAAAACACAAAGAGACATGCCAGAGACGTGCTGTTTCATTTGTTTCATTCTTTCTTTTCCTGCTCTGTGACCCTACACCACTTGAATTTAACTGCATTATAGTATTAGACTAGTACCTTGTGATTCCATACTCCTTGGCTCCTGGTATGGGTGGGTATCGAGGCCTTAACCCTGTAGCAAGTACAATGTGCTGAGCTGTCATCTGACTAACCTTGCCTTTCTTGTCAACAGCCTATTTCAGACAAAGAAGATTTCTTAAAAAATTGACACCACAACACTAATGTGAATGAGAGCACGCAGCTCTCATTACAGTCTACACTTTCAATACCTCCCCCAAAATGGCCTTTGCCTTTAAATTTGTTCATTCAGTTTCCTTGTTGGATCAGAAACCAACTCTAGACAGTCACTTGGTGCAAATTTCAATAGGCTTCCATCTTCCAGAGAATCTAGTACACATGTATAGATCAACAATCAGTGACATGTCAAATTGTTATTATTAATTTTTGCCTGACAATGAAGTATTTTCAGGGACCACTACATTTCCAGAACATAATGTTTGTATATGTTTAGACAAACTATCGATGACAGTGGTGGGGATGGAAGTATCCATTCCTGTTTTCTGTTATGATAACATTTAGACAAAGGAAAGGTTGGACAGATCTCAACTAAATTTTAGCAGAGATCATAGTCAGGAGCCAGGTAATTTATAAAGTTTGCATGTGACACGCCTTCTACGTGCATAAACCTCTTTCTTTTTCCAACTGGCCCTACACAAAAGTGAGGAATTCAGTGCTGTTAAACACATGAGTTTGAGTTTACTTTATAAGCTAATGAGTTTACTTACAGGTAGACCAAAGCGGAATAACACTTATCACGACTTTGATAATCCCAGATATCACAAAAACCTAATCTAATTATTGCTTTTAATATTTTCAATACAATGGTTTTGAAGAAATAATGACACAGAAGACGAGGAACACAGTTTGAGGAGACATTGCTCTTGGAAGTCATGCATATTGTACTTGCAAGCTACAGATAACTAACTAATCACTAGGTTGCGCTGATTTCCAGCCACAGGCTCTTGGCCAATGACAACAGATACTGTAAAATTCTGAAAATAAAACCCCTCCATGTATAAGCCCCCCATACTCGTAACGCAAAAAACCCTACGTTTAATTACCCCTCCAAATATAAGCCCCTGGGGGCTTGTACTTGGAAACTGCCCTCAAATTCAAAATAACACAGCAAAAACTGTACAGTAACACAAATTTTTGCATCTGTCAAAGAGTTATTATTGGGCCAAATGACTGCAGTCAAAAAGTGTCACAGTATATTGCTGTTTGCGTAGTTCACTCTTCACTCTTGGCTCAGATTTCCTCGGTCCATATAGACAAAGTACTTGCATGGATGAGTTTTAGTCCATAAGGCTAGTTTCAGTGAAAACCTTCTGCAAATTACTGACATAAATTTCCTTCCAACTATAAGCTAGCCCAATCCATTCTGAGATGCAAATTTCCCTCCATACATAAGCCGTTCCAAATATAATCCACTCCAAAAATAAGCCCCTCAAAAAGGGCCTTTTGAAAATCTAAGCCCTGGGACTTATTTGCTGAATTTTAAGGTATAATGATTACAATTTATAGTAAATTACCTGAACTGTATGTGCATCCAATAGCTTTCCTGTGGCATTTTTATACAAGATTTTCTTGTCTCTCAATTCTACTCTGTATCCCCAGTTAAGTGACCCAATGTGATTCTAAACATGCAGACAAAACACAAATTATACTAAAAATGCCACCTTTTTCATCTTGTGCATCTCAAACAACTTTTATTATTATTCAAACACATTCAAAATATTTTGCCAATTCTGATTGGCTTTACTCCCCCTGCTAATTCTTTACAAACAACTGCAGGGTGGGAAGAAAGTCACTTTTACAGCCTGGCATTCGGGCAAACTGTAGCTAGCCACACTAGCCCAAAAGTCATATCAACTAGCCCAAAAAAGATTTTTGGTGAACAGGATTGATTAAAGTTCGTAAAGTTCTTTTCTTCCCAAAGACCTTCACTTGCCCATCGGGCAAGTTAAGAGCAGAATTCACTAGCCTGATAGCAAAATCTACTAGCCCTGGACTATCGGACACTACTTTCTATGCACGCTGCAGCAGGTACTGACCAAAAGTGGAAGGTACAAAGAATGGCATGTGTAGTCCATGTGTTAATAAGAATAAATTAACAATAAAGATCACACTGTTTGGGTAAAGAAGGTCTTAAGATGAAAGATATGCCGGATCAATTCAAGTTTCTTGGAAACTGCCCACATACCCCTCCCCTGAGCCAACATTTTGCCTTAAGTGAGAAGTTAAGTGATACTGTTGGCTTAGGGGAGGGGTAGGTGGGCAGTTTCGCGGAAACCTAAATTGATCCGGTATGTTTACGACAAACTTGTTAACCGAGCCACTTATTATAAAGGACTTACAAAATTAACCCTCAGAGCAATTTGACTGTAGCCACAATAATAATATTATTGGAAATAAACTTGCTAATCACTTGATCCCACAACTAAAAGGAGAGCAGTCACTCAATTTCAGTCTTTTTAATTGTTTGAAAAAGAAAAAAAAATGAGTTTGTGCATACCTGTACATTTTCTCTCAATGTTGCCCACTTGTGATCAACTAGAAGAGAAAGATTACATTCTAATAAACCATGCATATAATAACAGCAACAATTAAAAAAAAGTTACTGATACTGCAATAATATAATATTATTAGAAGCATTGATAACTTATAAAGAAGTCTTCAAAAATTTGAGGGTTACATGGAAATTTCTAGCTTTTTTCTGTATTGCTTTGTTTTGTACCATAATTCTCCGAGAGATTAGCTTATCACATAATGCTTCCCTTAAATTTGAGCTCAAAATAATAATTTTACAGTTTATGCAATACAATATGTTATTGTGGCTACATAAAAGATAGGCTAAGTTTAACTCAGGACAACGTTAGCCAGCGGCCTTTCCCGCAAGGTTATTGAGGGAGCTCTAATTTGCGACTTTCATGTTCCACGTAATCCAGTGAAATTGTTCCTCCTTTTCATAAGTATTGGGACTAAAAATCTTCCCTTCAGAAATTGAAAACAAAGCCTATGCAAAAAAAATTGTGCAGAAAATAATTGCACTATGGGGAACATAAAAGACAAAGATAGAATCGCAGGGGCAAATGGGTTTTTACAGCCTCTCTGTTGAGGTCAGGCCATTACATTCAGGTTGCCACTCATTGTTCAGGATTTTAGTGTTTTTGCTTCTAACCCTGCCATCCCTTTGGTAAACACATTGTAAGCACTATACATGAAGGTTTTACTGCTTAGCAGCGTGTGACGGATGCCACTCACAGGGTTGTCATGGTTACACACTTTTTGTGTTTCTCTCTTGGGGGCCTCCTTGTTTAAATCAAGCTTACTATGAAGTGGTTTGAAATCTCTTGCCCCTGTGCAAGTTAGATGAAAAAAAAAAAAAGCTCAAACTGATAATGTCTCAAGTGGTATGAGCAGCGTGCAAAGAAAGTAGTGCCCGATAGCTCGGGGCTAGTGGATTTTGCTATCGGGCTAGTGAATTCTGTTCTAAATTGCATGATGGGCAAGTGAAGTTTTTTGAGGAATTCAAATTACAGAAGAAAATTAATGTGAAAATATCAATTCTGCTCATCAAAATGTTTTTGGGGCTAGATGAAAATGTTTGGGCTAGTATATGCTAGCTTCAGCTTGCCCCAATGGCAAGCTTTAAAAATCCCTTTCTTTGCACCCTGATGAGGGACATGGATTGCATGGGCAGTTAAGCGCGGTTGAGAGGCAATGGCTTAAACAGTCATTCAATGACTGAAAACCCACTTTATCATGAAGACCTTGCAACTAACCTCTTGATAAACCAGTATTACAAGAAAACAGAAAAAAAGTTGCATTTCAATCCATTTGTAGGAGTCACACTGCTTGCTACACATGCATACCTTTTTCATCATAACTCCATCCATACAACCTTGCATCTTCCATTCCATGCTTCAGTAAGGCAGCCTGATGCATTAGTTTCTTTGGAATACAGCCTACATTTACACATGTGCCTCCAAGACCTGATAGGAAACAAAAACCTTTTAGAGCCTAATGTGGGACTGTCTCTCAATACAATAATTATTTAATCAAGCATTCTCGACTCTGCAGCTGCCATCATGCTGCATCATTAGAACTTAAATCAGTATGATAAGAAGTAGTCTGAGAAAACAGACAACATTTCGTGACACCAACACTGATTTCGCTGTGCAATGACATCTGGGAAACTACCACAGGAAACCATGCTGATGATGCATGAGGCATATCTGGGTAGTGCTTCTGATTGAATGAAGCTTTAAGCCAATCAGAAGCATTACCCAGAGTTGGGTAGTGAAGCATCGTCAGTATGGAATTTCTTTGGCCATTTCTTAGAAGTCATTAATTTTTGCGGGGAAACAAGTGGTGGTGTTGGGAATTGTTGCCTGTTTTCTCAGACTAGATAGACAAAAGAAAACAGCATAAGTGAAAAACGTTACTCCAAAATGTGGCATGGTGCCTATTTGAGTACAGAATTTATACAATTACTTCTCATTTGCAAATTATAATATACAGTTCTATTCAATCTTTCTTAACCGTAGAACTGTGTTTCATTCAAAAAAAATAAGTCACAACAGAATAAGGGCATGTCAACATTGGTTTTTAAGGTTATAATGTATGTCCCCTTTCAATCAGTCACATTAGGATTAAAGAATAAAAATATTAGATAGATTCAGCCAGGACCAAAAGTGAGGTCCTCATGCAAGACTGTGCTCTAAGAAAAATTAAAGAGAGCCCAGTGCTCTAAACCTGTGAAATCCAGGGTGCCCAGCATATGATTACTATGAGAAAACTAAAATTAATTTATCTAGATGACTGGGAGCAATAGTTAGGCATCAGGGGCTACAGCACAGCTTTATTGTGGGATCTGTCAAGAAAATTAATGTCTTTCTGAAGTAATTCAATACTTTTGGCAAAAGCAAGAGGCAAACTGAATTCCTGCTGAAAAAATGGACCTGAGCCTGCTGTCAATAAATAATTATTATAACCAATAACTGGTCAGTGGAGAACTTTAAATATGTACTCCTGAACAGTTGATAGAGTCATGTAACATGTACAGTCATGTGGACTATTTTTTCTCAACCATTTCTTGGGTGCATATTTATTATGCATGGTGCTTCCCTACACAAGAGCTTTGCTAATAATTATTAACAACACCAACAACACAAGCAGTAAAGTGCTTTATTGCTAGAAAGACTGACCCCAGGTTGTTCCTACAGGAGATGGTTTAACAAAATCCAAAACTGCCACTTTTCTGCCAAGGTCAGCTGCTTCCTGTAAAATGAAAATGATATATATGTTACTGGTGAAATTTGGTTAGACTTTTTAACCTAAGGTTAATTCCCAATTTGGTTTGTCTCCTAGCCCTAGAAGAAAAAAGGAAATTGAAAATCAACCTATAGCTACGATCCTGGACAAAAGTCCTTGGGACAGTAATGCAGTATTTGTGATTTTCTGTAATTTATGGGTGCCCTAATAAAAAAGTGCAACTTTTTTGAAAATATCTCGCAGTTCCCCATTTCCCCATCCTATACAAAGTTGAACCTTACGGAAAAATTCTGGATATGTGCTTCCAACCTTGTTTATGGGGAGTGAGAAGGGGTTGGGTGTGTGTCCTAAGACTTTTGTCCATGGTTTTACGTTAAAATAATTACTTTAACCTGAAATCAAATACAACCTGTGACATATATGTGTACTTATTCTGTGGAAATTATTATAAAAAAGCACTTCATTTGAGTGTCAATGTATTTGGCACAAAAGTACTAATTATTGGGGACACTATTTTTATGTTTCTATCTGGAGATGGGACTGTCATTTTTTGTGGTCACGTGAGCTACATGCATGAAGGTCTAGCCGTGTGCAGGGCAAAGGCAAAACCTCCATTTCCCTGTTATTTTAAGAGCCTGGGTATTAGCACAGCAATAGGAATTGAGCCTCCCACTCTGCCGTCAAATGCTCTACCGACTGAGCTAATCCTCCCATGGTTAATCCCTGCATGCCCATGGGAAATGCCATTTCTTGCAGCTGTTGTCGAAAGCAGGATTGGACCAGAACTGCACGATCGATGTATACTTGGCCAGCAACCTTACCAAACCTTTTGTTACTTTTACTCATAATCCCCTCCCCCCTGGCCCCCCTTCCCACCCCAAAAGTTTCCATCTCATTGAGAGTTAACTAAAAGCAGAAAAGAAAATCAGGGACCAACAGTGGGTGCATATCCTCTCTACCAAGGTGTCTCTCAAGAAAGAGTTGACTGTATGTAGTAATACCTTTGAGCAAGCGAGTCCACCAGACCCACCACCAATAACAATCAGGTCATAAGTATAGTTCTCTGACGGCGGTGTGATCAGGTTCTTTAACTTTCCTTCCTCATGAAGTTTCATTGTATCATCTGCACCGCCAATGTGATTCCCTCGAATAAAGACATTAGGAACTGTTCTTTGCCCTGTCATCTCTTTCAGTTTTTCCTGTATTGTTGTTCCATTATCTGTATTTGAAGACAACCAAGCAGTTTTGTCATAAGATCACTGATAAACCATGACTAACAAATGGGTTCTCTTTTTTAATATAAAAGCAGCGGAGAATGCATAAGTGTGATGACCATTCTGAATGGTACTTTCCTATTTTTACTATTGAGCATGAGATACAAGATGCAGCTCTATCATCTAAGCCTACTGTTGAAATCTGTAGGTGAGTCCATTCATATGAAACAGAAGGTTCACACTACTAAATGTTATAATAAATTACGTGTACATCGTTTGCCTATCCTATTCAACTTGTAATGTAGTTATGGATCACCACCGAAAGTCAGTTCTTGACAAGCACCTTTCAGCTGTTTCACATGTCAAGTGAATGGATGAATCCTTTTCGAAGTGAGCAAACAACAGGCATTAAAGACTTCATTCAAGTGCAAAACTTCAGCTCACAAAGAGAAAGTGAAAGTCTGCCATGAGTGGATAAGGCATGTGCTGCTACAAATCCTACAATGCGTGAATTTCTTCTCTCCCATGTAGTCAATGGTGGCACAATCCCTAAGGGAACACAGCTTCGGGACCCCTTTTAGATGTTTATGCTTGATTTGCAAGCTTAGTAAATTGAAACATTAAGAATTTTTGCTTAAAAATATTATGCAATATTGCGAAATCCATGTAATTTGGGATTTTTGGTGTATAATTCGCCAAAAAAGCGCATAATTTGCTGAAACAAATGCATAATTCCAGAAGCCCTGCTTCTTTGAGAGATTCAGACAAAGTGGCCTACACCAGCAGAGTAGCTGATCAAAAGCATGAAGCACCTTTTTCTCACTTACTTTCACAAGTAGTAAATTTAGCGATTTTCGCAATTTGGGAAAAATACTCACAAAGATAAAAATCGCAAAGTTTAATACCAAACATATATCATTGTTCACGCGCACCACTGAGTCAACCTTGAGGTCAACACTTTAAAGCCGTGGTGAGATAATGCATAAAGCCCCTTCAATAAAATGTCGCTTCAGTATGGCATTAATTATCTCTGACCAAGCATTATCCAAATCTGGTAATGCAATTTCAGATGTTGAGGGCAAGGCCAGTAAGCCAAGCAAGTGGGGTAGGAATCAGGTATTTGCCACAGCAGAAGCAGAAACAACTCGGGGCTGATGAATATGACCAAACTGCTGTAGCTTTACATACATGTGTTACTGAATAGGAAAATCAAAATTAAATACACTCCAATTCTACCTGCATGTCCCTGAAAATCGCGAAATTAAATACTTGCGAAATAAGACTCATTATTTTTCTCGAAATTTGATGCAATTTGGTGATTTTAGGCTACTGCTGGCTAGCTATTTGGCAATTCCCTGAATTAAACTGTTAGGATTTAAGTTTATTAGATTTTTAATTTACCCAGTAAATCCATTTCCATGGCTGTAAATGTGACATTCATTGACTTGAAAAGCTCCTTTACCTGTGAAGAAGTATTAGAAAAAAATAATCCTGTCAGGTGATAATCCTACCAACACATTTTCATGCATGCACTTTTAAGTTAAAAAGGGAGATATAGAGGAGATTACAAGGCCACGTGGAGATAGAAATTTTCTCTTTGAGTATTTGAAAACAAGAAGAGAAATTTCCTATCTCCAAGCGGCCATGTAATGTTCTATTTATTATACAAACACCTATGAAATACCACACCATTTCGCTTTAATATATAAATATTTTTTAGCCATGAAAAGCCAGTTTATCATGTAGCCATAGCAACAGTGATCTTTTCATGTGTTAAGATATGATTCATGTTTTTGCGTGAAAGCTCACCTACACTAACCACAAGAAATATTGCATAATTTGACCCATTAAATAACTTTTTGCCACATGTGACCTTCTGGAAATTAAACTCCCTTCTACCTTCGGCACTGCGTTAAAAAGCCTGAATTATTAAGAGTTATCTCTGCGCGTCTTTTTCAGACGATAGACAGCTATCCATGAAAAGGGAGTCAGATTATAATATGAGCTTTTAATTTCACTTACATGTGGGTAATTGGCAAGTTCTCACAATATTCCAAAGCTGTATTATAAATTTATACATGCACACCTCCAAGTTTAATGTAAATAGATGTATTGATGGAAACATAAAAGGGTTGGTTATTTAAACAAAGTCTAACTTAAGCCATGCATGGTTTAAGAAATCATTGGACCTCCAGATTTTCGTTAGTGGGTTATTTCAAGAAAATAAGTGCTTTTCCAGTCTATGCTATTTGCTTTAAAGAAATTGTTCATGATAAACCATGTTTGGATAATAGCGTTGGGAAAACTGAAAATAGCTTAGAACAAGGTTTTGTTAAATACGGGCTCAACTCTGTTTAAATAACCAGCCCAAAGTGTTGTTAGATAATTATTCCACCACATCGTTTGAATACTTTTTCATTTCAAAGTCATCAACTATCTTGTCATCATTTTCTCTACTCATAAATCATTAAAATTAACTTTCAAGTACAGATGACAGTTCGCCAAACTGTTAAGTGTACAAAAAATAATAAGAAGAATCTTAAAATATTGACAAATTCATTAGAATGTACAACAATTTTCCTCTGTTATGATTTATGCCACCCTGTTATCTGGTTGTTTGCAGTCTTTTTTTAACCTTTATATCTTTTGGATAAAACAGCCTTATCACCTGCTGTAATGATAAGTTTACAATATGTTTAAGAGTTTAAAATACGGTAATATTTTAAATAGTGAGGAACTTCCACTTAGAATACAATTCATGTTCAGAAGGAAAGGTCTAAAAATCTAAGTGAATAGAACATATACCTCATTAAAAAGGCGTAATATAAAAAGACGCTTACATGTTGTAATTACTATTGCTTACAATATCCAGGTCATAGGAAAACTATCACCCTCGATGCTTTTTGCCGAGTCTAACTTTTTAAAAACTTACAGAGGGAAAAACAGATTACCTTATTTCGCATAATTGTGTCCTCAAAGAACTATTATTATAGAACGTACATTAATTCAACTCCTTAGCCTTTTGTTTATATCATTTACAGTTGAAACACTAGTAATTAAGGCCGGGATAAGCCTGCAGTATAGATATTACAACCTGCTCGTATAAAGAGTAAAGATAAAATTAAAGGAGCCTACTATCGCTAACACAAGTCAAAAAGCTGTTATAAATATACAGAATTATTTAAGTTTCTTCTATCCATCTGAAATCTGCTCTCAATGCTCGTATATGAAGGTTTCAAGTAACCCCTGACAGTGTTAATAAGGGTCTTTGAAATCAGGATGGTTTGCGAGCGGCAAATGCCGGTCCGCATTGTGATGAATATTTTAGTTTAGACTTAAGCTAAATTCCATAGTTTTGAAAACAATGCTTTCTTGATCCTTTATTTTTGCTGAAGATGGAGTGATTAAAAGCAGACATTAAGTAACCCACCTTCTTGCAGAATGGACATGTAGATTTCGAAAATATCATGACCAGGTTATCTTTTATGCTCTGTTCAATAAGGTCCTTGACGGGCGCCATTTTGTTTGGTAGTTCGGGCGATGGCGTCCGCGCCCGTTTGAAGTTTGACACTGCAACACCAATGATGAAAATAATTGAAGAGCAANACCAGGTTATCTTTTATGCTCTGTTCAATAAGGTCCTTGACGGGCGCCATTTTGTTTGGTAGTTCGGGCGATGGCGTCCGCGCCCGTTTGAAGTTTGACACTGCAACACCAATGATGAAAATAATTGAAGAGCAACAAGATCGTGTGAAAAATCAACCTTTATACTGGCTAACAAACAAGGAACTATCCAATCACGGAAGTGAGATTGCGTAATTGAATTCGTGAAGGAACAGCCGGCTTTCAGTAAATATTGCTCTGCAACTGAAAAAAAAATGCTGATCACGTGCTATGAGCACTGGACTTGTTTAAAGTTTCGCTCGCATAGTGTATTAAAACCAAATTAATACAAAATCTTACCCTTATGTACAGAAATTATGAAGTTAGATATAATACAACTCAAGCAACCACGGCAGACAATTACATTTTTTTATAAAACTCCTTCTAGAACATGTGACTGTGACTCAGACAGAGGCAGAGAGCATGACATGACGTCACATAAGAATTTGGCGCGCGAGCGGGGAAATAAATATAACTTACAAATATAATCTGTTTCGATCTCCCTTTGGTTTCTATCTTTTACCACCAAATTAAGTTGAAAAAAAAAAAAAGAAAACAAAAAAGAAGAAAACAAAAGGAGTAGAACTATGCATTTCAATTCTATCGGTACGTGATATTTTGAAAATTTGAGCTTCACACGTGCGTAATAAAGTCGCTGACTAACGATTAGTAGTCTCATTGCAAGTTTCGTCCCTCAACACTCCGGAAATATCGTGACAAAAATGTTACTTTCAAGCTTTGAGGACTTTCATCTCCTCCTGATTACAATGTTGGATGTTTCTGATAAGTGATTTCGACAAGCTAACGATATAGATCAGACGCCGTAGCAAGCTCACTATGAAGATACAAACATCGAAAAACACAACAAGTTCGGCGATCATACTGTACTCGCCCACAACTCGATTTTTGGGTTTTCGATGAAATACAAAGAGATGGAAATATCGCCAAAGAGTCCTATACATTATAAACATCAACATCTCGAACCGAAAGAAATGTTTATCCTCAGATCGTTCATATGCGTTTGTATAGAATGTCAATATCGGTTCATTACATTTTAAAATACCTTCCATGTCAACTAACCGCCAACGTTTCTTTAGTTGGAAGTATGTTTTTTGTTCCTGTCTTACGTAGGGAGATATACAGGCAAACCGCTTGAGTTCCGGCTCGCTTCGATAGGCGGCTTGCTTTCCGACGATATGTAAGTTCAAAAGGACAAACACATACCTGTAGCCAATTTAATGCTCTGATCAATCGTTTAGTCACGCTGGATTAGCATTCCAAAAGCATCACCGGGATAACGCCACATCACTTATAGAGAAGAAACAAAAGCAAAGAAAACGGAAATGAAGCAATTTATGACTCTCACGATTTTGTAGTTGCCCAATTCACTTGTGTATATGAAGGTAACCAGCACTAACGCTAGTACACTGGGAACTTTGTGCACTTTTTGGCACGTGCAGAACATGTGCAGCACATGCAAAGAAAATCTGGATTTGGATTTGCAATCCGGATTTCGGATTTTACAATCAGCGCATAATCCGAAAAAAACATTTGCAAAACTGTTCTCGTGTTTTCCTGCTGATCCCTGAGAACAGTTCAGTCATATTCCCCACCCTCTCCCCCGCCCCCAAAAAAGAATAAATAAAACGAACAAAAACAAAACAAAACAAAAAACGGAAAGAAAAGTAAATCGCGTTTCGATTACAAATAGGAAAGCCAGATTTCAAAATTTAAATCCAGATCCTAATCGAAAGCATCCGATCTATAAATTTATTGAACTACGACCGAGGTAACTTTAGTAATCTCTACAAAATTTGACTCCAATATACCGATTCGGAAATATTCTCTTTCAAAAGAGCTAAAAATGTTACAAAAAAAAAAAAAGCATGGCTCATTAATTAACTGAGGGTGCCACCCAGCAATTTCGTGGATTTTTTTTGGCTGTTATTTCCCTTAGTGTGCTGGGCACTCCTTTAGTTGGCATAAACCGCGGGTATGAGCCGCTGATTAGGGTATGTTTTTCAGAGGCTTGAGTCTTAAGCAGGCCCAATTTTACTATTTAGCGTCTTGAATAGGGTGTCTTTTCGGACCGGAAGCCTTTAAAAGTGTGTGAAGGTTGGCGATGAGTAGTCTAATTCTCAGAGTGGTAACAACAATATTTTTTCTAAAAAGTATCTAATTCCGTTAGCTAAAAAATGCTCAATTCTTTATGCGAAAACATAACTCAGTATGTCAGGGTCTTGTCCTAACCCTATTTAGACCGGGCTCTTTTTTGCTTCCTGCTACCGTGAAGGAGCTTCGGAGGCCCCCCAACTTAAAAACCACTCGGCCACGAAAATTACACAGAAACATAGGCACGTTTAATGTGCATGAGCTATTTTGAATGCTTCAGTGTAACTGTACTAACAATCTACTGTTTTGTTCAAAATTAAGACTATTTTTTGCGCGAAATTAGGTTACGAGTTTCTTGTATTATACGAATGAATTTGACTTTGTAAAGTAAATTTACAATGAAATTTTAAAGGTAGAGTATGGTTTTGATAGGAGTACATGAATTAGCCTAGTTGTATTAAGTATATATCATGAAATTTTAAGATACCAAGATTTTGAAAGATTGGATCAGTATGTGCATCGAAAGTGGTTTTAGCTATAGTTCTGATCACCCGTTTCTGTAAAATCTCAAGACGAATAAGGTTAGTTCTGTAAGTGGAGGCCCAAAATAAGTTGCAGTAAAAAAAGTATGGATAGACTAGAGAAAAATATAGTGTTCGTAAGGTTTTCGTAGATAAATAGAAACTGGATTTACGAATAATTCCTGTACATTTAAAAAACTTTATTGGCGACATGTGAGATTTCAGATTTCCAATTTAAATTTTCATCCATGATTACTCCCAAGAAAACTGTTTCTTTTACTTGATCAATTTTTGGGCTATTAATTAAAAGTTGAAATAGTTTGATTTGTACGTTTTTGGCATGGTTTAAATACAATTAATTTGTTTTTTTTTTCAAGTTTAATGAAAGCCTGTTAGATCTAAACCATAATGACAACTTATTTAGCTCAGCGTTCAGTATATTAGCCAGGCAGTCTTTATCCTTGTGAGACACAAAAACGTTTGAGATAATGAAGCTCGTCGAATACCGAATAGCTATTAAAATCATTGTTGAAGATGGTTGCATCATCATTATTCACGAGGTTTATCACGTGCGATTCTACTTAATGAAACAGTCTTTAACTCTGACGACTTCCTCAAGAGCCTAAAGCTGTCAGACCTTGGGTTTGAATTACTTATGCAAATTAGCTGGCTGCACATTGAATGTAGTCTGCTACACAGCCGTTTTTAGTGTCGTCACGCAACGCCGGAGCGTTGCGTTATGACACTAAAAAGGGCTGTGTAGCAAACTACACTGAATGTGCAGCCAGCTAATTTAAATAAAATTTTTTCGCGCTTCAAAGTTCGTCATCCCTGATAGCAGGATTCACAGTTTTATCCAGACGAGCAAAGATTCTGCAAGGCCCTCCGCTACCACCAGTGATAAACATTGGAGCTGCGTACAACGTAAAGCCTTTTATGGGTAACTTGTCCATGTGGGCGACATTTTCTAGGCCAGGAATATTCCTCTCGTAAAGAATTTGACGTGATTCGTAAAGCGTCGATTGTCCGTAGTCGATAGATGCTGTATCTACACCAATCAACTTGATCTTGCGATTCTTTACCAACCAACGGGAGGCATTAGGGTGTATCCCTACACGCAAACATACAAAAAAGACTTCAGGTATAGATGATATACAATTAATTTGGACAAAGCTTGTGTGCAGAAGTTCAGTGGATATAAGGGCCCAACGGATTTCTTTGTTTCATGAGTTTGTTTATTACTTAGTCGACAGCAGTTGATTGTACCAGGAGCCCTGACAGTGCACAACGTTGAAAGTCTTGAATAGGAATGGTATTCACATTGTGTACACAAGTAGTCTAAAAAAGCAAAGAAATCATCATGGAACAGAAGAAATCTAAATTGGCTTTTGTACCTATGTAACTTTACTGACGATGATTTGTATGAGGCCAGGAGCCCATCAAATGGAGCCTCCATCTCCCATACAAGCCTTTGGAGTCAACCCTTTCCAGAGTAGATTTATAATTAGAACGGTCCCCAGGGGAGACTTCGCGCGCCGACGTTGGGAAGAGCCAATCACAACGACGAAATGACACCGCTATTGTACTTCATCAAACAGCAGGAAATTCGGTGTTGACAGGCCAAACACAATCATTAGCTAGTGAAACGTGACTTTTTCTTTCCAGCGGGTAGATTATACTGTGGAGAGTTTTAAACTCTGACTATGTAAACTTTATTTTGGTTGCTTGTCTCACATTAAGAGGCCATGAAGCTACCTGCAGTCTGTAGTTCTGACAGGATTCGTTTTCTTTAGCCAATTTTTTTGAGCGTTGAGGTTCTTATTTCGGCTAAATGACTCAATATTAATCAAATTTCTACTTTTTCAAGGTTTTTTTCCGAAAGGCGTTTATCTGAATAAATACTTGTAGTCCTTGTGGTTGTTTTGTCCGTCAGCTAGTGTGATGATTCCCTGCTATGTTTTGTAACGCCGCGCCCAGGCATTGTTTTCTCGCAAAAAAGGGATCTACAGATGCGAATTCGAAGGAAGGAATTGAGCCTAAACTTCTACATTAACTGCTGAGAATTGTCCTGTTGGTCAGTCATAATTCTTTTGGCGCAGATACAATCCATTTTGTTTTTCTTGAGATAAGTGGGTCTTTGGACTGGAGCGCTATGTCACAAATTCCTCCGACAGCAAATTACTTTTGAGTTAGCTTAACGGTCGAGCAACTGTTGTCTTCTGTTCAACTTTTCAAGTGCCAGTTTTATCATGGTTATACAAGTTAGTTGTAAAGGAAGACTGCAATTTCTCAAATTTCGGAACTGAAGCATTCCTCGTTTGTTGCTACTTAGGTCATCGCTTTTGCACGCGGTGCTTAACTGGCGAAATCCACTCCACGGTGATGACAAAAATTAAAATAATCCTGGCACTTTTTCGGCGCTGATCATCGAAAAGTTCCAAATCGTCCACACAACGCTTAATCGTCGACTCTTTTCTAGGTGCATGCTTAAATGAGGGATGTATGGCGGCAGAAAAAAAAAAAAAGAAATACTCGTTAAGATAACCTTTCCGCGATCCTCAGTTCGCCAGGGGCACCCAACGAGGATATAGTTCAAAACCACTTAACATAACATTGTCGAAAGTATTTTAGTATTTAAAAGGTAGAAATAGGCATATTTTTATCCCCTAAATGAGTTTTTCATCTGTTCGGATTTCCTAGCTGAAAGTCTAGTGATCCGAAAATTATAGGGATCAAAACTTACCTTTTCGAAAATTTCAGCCAGGAAAAGGCTCCCGAAATTCTAGGTGGTCTTTTTTAGGGTAAAAATCCGTTAAAAGTGGGTAATTATACCACTTTGGAGATGTTCGAAAATCCTAGGAGAGGCAGGCAAGCAAGAAATTTTACAACAAATGTTCCGAAAATTCTAGATCTCAAATCGTCTTCCGAAATGTTATTTTCCTAAAATTGCCGTTGGGTGCCCCTGGTTCGCTGCCTTTGCCCCATCGCTTCATGCTCAGTCTCAGTCGGGTAATTCATTAACTTTTATTTCATGATACCCAGATCCCAGCGGCTGAAAAAGTGTAAAAATGGACGTAAAGTAAAAATGGAAAACAGTAGAAGGACGGGCTTCTGAGTTCGACTTCATCTAATTTTATTTTTACCGTGACATACGAGACTTACGGAAATATGACACTTTTCGCGGGAAAAAAGCCGTTCTATTTATAAATCTACTCGGGAAAGGGTTGACTCAAGAAATTAATGGAGATGGAGGCTCCATTTGATGGGCTCCTGATGAGGCTGAGTATGAGAAACGAGATTTTTGCTTTTACAGCGCGAAAAATTCAACGAGAGCCTAAAAAGAAAGAGCGGGAGGGGGAAGGGAAGAGATGATGATGATGTGTACTGATGAAGTTGACTCGTCCCCAGTCGTCTTTCATGTTATTTGTAAGCGGTCACGGAAGGCTCGGGGAGGACTATTACGGCATCTTAGCGAATAGGACGATGGGAAGGAAAGAGTGAGAAATGAAAGAAACCCCCTTTTCATCTCCCCAACGCGCATCTTCCACGCGATTGTCTCATTAACATTGAATTAAAAGATAAAACAAAAAATGGGCGAGTTGTGCAGGATGAAGAATAATGCATGTACAGCGAGGAAGGGAGGAGTGTGTTATCAACCCAAGCCGAAGTTTGGAGTGGATACCGGTAACACCCTCAGAGAACAAAGACAAAAAAATGAAGTGATGGTATAGATTAACTTACCCGGGAAATGCAGCAAGGACAAGTCATTCGTGTCAGTACCGAGGTAAGTTAGTTTATCTGGCCAACGCTTTTCCCAGTCAAAAAACAGAAGCAATATGATGTCATCAGGAATCTTTCCGTTCTTCTCTTCCCAGGCTTCTAAGTCACTCGGCATCACCTGGTAATCACGGTTCTGAGGAAAAAATCATCGACTGATTTTACGGCGGGTCTGTGAATAATAGGGCACTTTGATAGACAGGTTTCTGGCAGGTGCGCCATGTTTCTGCGACTATTGACTCTTGACAATTTGCTTTAGCTACATTTGAGGTTGCGCATAATCGCGCATGGAGACGGGATCAGTTTTGCGGCGAAGTCCACTATGCGACTATTTTTCGGATGTTATCGCTTCTTTTATCGGCTTACTACATGATTGCGAAGAAAACTAACGCAAAATTAGTCGCCCAAAAAAAAGAGAAAAAAAGGAAGTTAGACTAAGTTGCACAGGCTAGGATCATAACTAGTACTGGGTTACAGCATGAGTTTCCCAAATTAAAGAAGAACCATTACCTGGGCTGCTTTGGAGGACATATCTATCTTTATGGCAGGTCCAATGAGCTGATCTAAAGGTATCTGGTCAGTGGTCCACCTATTTGCAGCAAAGTGTCTCGGAGAATCAATATGGGTTCCCCCATGTTCAGCAGCACTGATGTCATACGCTGAATAATAGAAACCAGCGGCGATAAAATTTTCGCTTAGTCTGATGTGCTTGAAAGCCAAGGAAGTAGGCCAGTAAATGGTCTCACTGTTGAATTGGTATGAGAGCTCAATCCACTCGCGTTTTGGTGCTGCTTTGCCCAGGAAAGGGAGCCAAAAGTGAACAAAGAGGCAAAGAACAGGTGTCTTCATGACTTCCACATAAATTGTCCCGCAAAGATCGGTCTGTAAACAAAAAAGACATGCACCACTTCCGTGGGTTACACAAGGTACGCTAGCTCATTATTCTTCATCCTCAAGCCCTACAAAACGCCCCGATAGATTCAAAAATCAAAACCAAGGTAGAATTAATGAGACACACCTTCTTCCTCCTAAAAGTTGTCCTTTTTCCCCTTTTCGGTTTTTTATATATGAACAATCAAAGAATTATAAATATTTCGTGAAGGGTAAGGTCACAATAAGAAATAGGAAATCCCAGGGCACAATATTATCTAAGACTAAAACCGTGAGTACCTCAATATTCACCAAATTTTAAGCGAACAAAGGCATTGGACAACTTTATAAGTTTTGAACGGTCATGAAATTCAGGGGTTGAAAAGAACACTACTTAATTGTAGCTCTGAAAATTTTTGGAGGATATCTATCGACGAATTTTGATTTTATCGCTGTTTTTTGTTAAAGTAGCCTTAAAAAATTCCAAAGTCTGAGTTCACAATTGTGTTTTAAGGCTGCGTGCAAACGGGCGCAACAACTCCCAACATTGTTGCGCCAACAATGTTGGCAGTTGTTGCGTGCGTGTTGGCAGTGGTGTGCAAACGGATGCACTAACTCCCAACAAGGTTGGGACCTGCAGTGCATCGTGGGAAGAATACAACCCATAAGTCTTTGTAATCCATGCGTAATGAGCGTGCATTCAACTTAACTTAACTTCAACTTCAACTTTATTTAAATTTGGAAATATAACCAAAGATACATTGGGACTGGCCTGCAGTTAGCGAGGCTATTCAAGGCAGGCCAGGCTACATAATTTACTACAAACGAGACAAATACAAAGAAATTAGACGTTATAAAAGTATATATATATTTTACATTAAATAGATACTATTCTTCTTAAATGCAAGGACAATATTAAAGTGGAAATTTTAAAAATAAAATAAAATGAAAGTAAAGGACAAGAGAATTACTTTTTCATTTTCACGATGATCGTATCCACATCAATACAGGAGTCTTTAGTTTCAAGGATATCGAGTAGCATTTCTTTTAGTGATCTTTTAAAAGTTTTTTTCTGTCTTTCTTTAAGAATATGACGTATCCCATTCCAAACTTTGCCCTCAACACGCGAAAAAGCATTTCGTTTGACATTGAGTCGAGATTCTTTAGTATAAAAATGTTCAGAGGTTGAGGCACGTGTGTTGTAAGTATGAACACTAGAAATTCGAGAGAAGAGTTTCAAAATATATATTATCCGGAGAAGTGTTTTTATTTACATCATACATAAGAATACAAACGGGTTTATAATATAGAGACTGTAAAGGTAGAATTTTTGCATTGACAA